AAACTAAACAGGAAGGTAAAATAAACTTGTCTGTTGATACATTTCAGCAATTTCATAGTAATCTAATTTACCATAAACCAGATCAAGTATCCTCTATTTTTACTCAGAACCCTTTCAGTGCATGTGGTGAGGTCTATTATAGCATTATCTAGCGATAAAAGCAATCTACTGAACATATCTTGAGACCAGCGCTACCTTCAGCAACATGCTACCTCAGACAGGGGATAATTGGAAGTGCAAATTACTTGGAATTCTGTAAGTATTTGGAGTTAAAGGATAAAAAGATAAAAAGGATTGTAAATGTTTTTTGGTCAGTTGACATTGTGGAAATCCATCAACGTGCTCAAGAGTATCCAAACATATATATTTTCCCTGCATTTATGACAGTAATAATGATCCTTGCATTTGATATAGCACCTCATTACGTCTTCAAGACATCCCAAGGCGCTTCACACAATATACTGTAAAGTGAATTAACTTTATATCTTGTGGGCGAATTTGCAATGCACTGCGCAGTCTGTTTCAGGCGGGACGTACTCTGATTGCTTAATTCCAGGCTTGGGGATCGCAGAGTGTTTGTTCAGATGGTGCAGGACTTTAACCAGCTAAAAAGAGCGCATGGCTTGTCACAGAGCACCGTCTGGCAAGCTTTTTGTTGCTTGTCCAGCCCATAGCACTCTTCCCATTAGGGCTTTGGATTGCAGAGGTAACAGGAGCTGAGTGCGTGGGAACAATCACTGCCCTCAATTTGTCCCCTCGAGTCCTACGCTGTGCGCAATTGGCTGATGCGTTTCGCCCACAAAATACAGTCACTACACTTTACACTATAAAGCGCTTTGAGTTGTATCGAAGATGTGATAAGACGCAATGTCAAAAGCAAGGTATCATCAGCTGGAGGACTGTTTCAGTCACTGGACTGGAGACCATCATAGAGGGTTCTGTCTCAACTCTGACATTCCACTCGATTTGAACAAGGGGGTTGTAAAGAGTTAAGTAAGAGCTGATGAATCAGTTACTCCACTAGAAATCACCTGGTCTCACACAGTCATACCTGGGATGGAATTTTCCTCTATTGACTGTGAACGAGAGGAAAATTCCACCTCTGTTGCTGCATTAGGAGTGTTGACTAAATCCAGCCTGGTGTGGGAGAGGTTAAAGTCTGATGAGTTGATATATGTATAAGAGAGTGTGTGTTGTTGTATGTTGTGTGTGTGTGTGTGTGTGTGAGAGAGAGAGAGAGAGAGAGAGAGGGGCTTTCATGGGTTTACCCTAATGCTAGTTGGAAAAAAAACATATTTTTTGAAGTCGAAATGGAAGAACTTCTGTTATAACGAGAATGATTTGGGTTACACAGGAGAAAAAAAAGGAGAAAAAAAAGGAAATCTGAAATAAAACAGAAAACCATCATCTGAAAGAATTAGACATTTAATCCTTCAGGCAGGACCCGTTAGCAAAATTCCTGGCTATGAGACTGGCTTTCAGAATCATGAGGCAGAATACACCAGATGCTGGAAATATGAAATAAAAACAGACAACAGAAGAAAAGTTCTATAATAACTTTTAAGAGAGAAGTAGATAATTATTTGGGGAGGACACGTTTGCAGGGCTATGGGGAGAGAGCGGGGGAATGGGATTGATTTGGCAGCTCTTTTCAAAGAGCCGGCACAGACACGATGGGCCGAATGGCCTCCTTCTGTGTGGTATAATTCTATGATTCTATAACAACAACACATTATTACATTTGTACAGCGCCTTTCACGGTAGGAAGACGTCCCAAAGCGCTGGACAGTCAGGGATCTGCACCCGAGATGGTGGTTGGGATCAGGAGGGGTGGAGGGTAGGAGGGTGACCCAAGGCATGGTCGAAGAGAAGAGATTTGAGACGAGTCTTGAAGGATGCAGGGGTGGGGGCGAGGTGGAGGGACTGTGCAATGGAATTCTCGAGGGTGTGGGCAGAGTGGCTGAAAGCCCGCCCACCAATGGTGGGGCGGGCAAGGCGGGGACGTGAAGCAGGCCAGAGTTGCTGGGAACAGGCAGCAGGTCAGGCAGCATCTATGGAGAGAGGAAAATGAATTAACGTTTCAGGTAGATGAACCTTTCGTCAGACGAAAGATCATCGACCTGAAACTTTAACTCATTTTCCTCTCTCCATAGATGCTGCCTGACCTGCTGCAGGCTTTCAGGATCCTGTTGTTGTAATTGTTCCGACAGCTGAGGGATCCCAGTCCATCGTCACTAAAGTATTCTATTGCCGCTGGATCCAGTGAGTAATATGTGCAGAGGGAACAAAACTATCAGTAATGTCAAGAGAATTTAACGACACGCAAAATGATGGAGTTACCTCCTCAAGGTTTGCCCCACAGTGTAAATGTACAATGCAATTTCCTAGTCTTCAGGTTACTTCAGGAGACACAAACCTTCCACACAGACCAAGTGTATTTTGAACCGCTCACTTTCTAAAGCACAGGGCAACATATCCTCGGTGTCCGTCTGCCTTGACATTTGCCAATCCAATCATCGATGGAACCAACAATGTCGCTATCACATCTTCTGTTGTGATAGTGACACTGTGGAGCCTTCAAACAAAGGCTCTTTACTGTTATTCATGCCTGTTCTGCCACAGACTAATTGCTGATGACTAGGAAGGGGTACATCATCCACTGTAGAATATAATGGTGGATTTTGGAGGAATGGATGGAAAGCTGTATAAGTATATGGGGAAGGGAACTGGGATTGGAGGAGATTTTTAGTCTATGGACTGTGGAACAGCCTGCGAGGGACATGGGTTTGATGGATCAACCGCACCTGCTCCTTTTCCTAAATTCTTATGTTCCTGTAGCTTAAAAATGCTTCACAACTGATTTTACGCATCATAAAAGAGAAACACAGTTCAGTAGGTTAGGATCCGCAGAGTGCAGGAGGACAAAAATCAAATGACTCAGTATTTAGTTAACCTTTAAATACTGTGACTTCATTTCTCACCTGAAAAGCTCCTGATTTCTCATTAACTATTTGCTCCCCGCTCTCCCTGAAGCAATACCAGTGAATGAAGCTTCACAGAACAACAACAACTTGGATTTACGCAGCGCCCTCCACGCCGGACGGCTTCTCAGAGCACTTTACAGTAACAGGTCCTGGGACCGATCCAGGGGGAGGGGGAGGAAGGTGACCAAAGGCGCGGTCGAAAAGAAAGGTCTTCAGCAGAGTCCTGAAAATGGGAAGGGAGGGAGCGAGACGAAGGGAGTGAGGAAGGGACTCGGGGCATAGTGGTTGAAGGCACGGCCACTGAGGGTGGAGTGGTGGACTCAGGGGATGAGGAGGAGGCCAGACCCAGAGGAACGAAGGCAATGGGTACTGTTTTGAGAGAGAGAGGCGGTCCGAGAAGTCGGGGGGTGCAGAGCACTGGTGGTTTGTGAGGTAGGACTCAAACCAGGCGAGTGCGGTCCCACTGAGGTGGATGATGGAGGAAAGGCAGTAGAGGAGGACGGCGTGATCGACTGTGTCGAATGCGGTGGAAAGGTCCACGAGGACAAGGAGGCAGAGGGAGCCCTGGTCACAGATAGAGAGGATGTCGTTTGTAAGGATTTTTTCAGGAGGGGGGTGATGACAGCAGTTTTGAGGGAGGAAGGGACTGATCCGGAGGAGAGGGACTGGTTGATGATGTCAGCCAGTAGTGGGCAGAGGAGGGGGAGCTGGGTGACCAGTAAGTTGGTGGGGAGGGGATCAAGGCATCAGTGGTGGGTTTCATGGAGTTGATGGTGGATGAGAGGGAGGAGGGAGAGATGGGGAGGAAAGAGTGTAGAAAGGGGGTGGTAGTAGAAGCAGATGATAAGGAAGGTGAAGGGGGCAGAGAGGGCGTGGTGGTGGGTGACAAGGGGCAGGCGGATGAGGCTACCTGGCGGATGTTGAGTATTTTAGCAGAAAAGAAGTCCATGACCTCCTCGCACTTGGCATCTGATGTGAAGATTGAGGAGGCCTGAGGGGGGGCACGGAGGAGGCAGTGGGTGGTGGGAAAAAAGCATTTTGGGGTTGTGTTTAGCCTCCAAGATGATGTTGGAGTAGAAGGCCGTTTTTGCGCGTGTCTTAAAGAACGCCGGTAGCTGTGGAGATGCTCGAGCCACAGTTGGCAGTGGACTGTCAGGTCAGCTGTCTGCACCACCACTAAGCTCAACAGGGGAAGTAGTCAAGACCTGAAACCCAAACAAAGTCTGGGTCATCCATAATAATAATCCTTGCATTTAATATAGCACCTTATCACGTCTTCGAGATGTCTCAAAGCGCTTCACAGAATATACTGTAAAGTAAATTGACTGTGTATTTTGTGGACGAAACAGCAGCGTCCCACAATGGATTGAGTGATCAAATTATTAGTATTGTTATTTTTTGCAATGATTGCAAAGACTTCTTTGAAGGAAAGACTTAAAAATGTGGTGTGTTACACTGGCATTGCAGCCTACAGTTGCTTGGTATTTAATATGGAGCCCACTGTGTGATATACTGCTAAGTGAGCCTTGTTTGCAAGTCAATGATATACTCAGTAATAAATCAAATTCCTAGAGTACAGTCATGCTATTTCTCACATGAGTGCACAACAGCGGAGCAGCAGCAGTGTTTGGAACAACCTCTGCGACTGCTGGCTTTCTAAATACCAGCGAGAAGTGGGTCAATTGGAAGTTAATAGGATGCCAAAACCCAAGAGTATTGGTACGATACTACTTTGCATTAGTCTGTGCTCGGTGCCTGTCGGAGGTGGTCACAGAGTTTCTCTTAGCCTTGGGCCTTTGAGGATTGAGAAGGAGGAATCGAGGGCTGGTTTGGAGGCAGTTTCATTACCCTCCCCCGCCACCCCCCACCACTATTGAGAGGAAGGCTGGATCTTCATGGGTTGGTGCTGAACCTGGACAAAAGCCTATGAGCAGTCCAGGGTAAGTGTCGGTGTTAAAAATCGTGGCTTTAAAGCTCAAGTGGCTAACAGCTGTCCCATTTGTTCCTTGTTTGCAGTTTGCGGCTGTGACTTGGCCAAAGGTGGATTTTTCATGAAGAACAGCGACTACCTTTGTACCCTGGACTACCAGCGGCTGTACGGAACCCGGTGCCAGGGCTGCGGAGAGTTTGTGGAAGGGGAAGTGGTCACGGCTTTGGGAAAGACCTACCATCCCCAATGTTTTGTTTGCTCCATATGCAAGTAAGATTCAATACAAACCTTTTCATTCGGCATTATTGGCGCTTTCCCTTTTAAAAAGGCAACAGTTTAAAATAGTAGGTACGTCACCCAAACCCCTACGATACACGGAAATTTACTCCCACTTAACTCACCTCTGTGGCTCCCTCATTAACCGAAGTAGGGGGATGCGGATTGAAAGGCACGTTGAATATAAAGCTCTGGCAAAAACACCATGGAAATGGCTGGATATCACCAATGGCTCAAAAGGCCATAGACATCATCTGCAGACATGGGGTCAACTCCCACATGTATGCAGATGACACCCAACTCTACCTCTCTGCTTCCACCCTTGACTCCAGGACCACTGGTGTCCAGACAGACTGTCTGTCAGACATCAAGTCCTGGATCAGAGCTAACTTTCTACAGCTGAACATCAGTAAGACCGAGGCTCTCCTGATTGGCTCCCTCAGGCGCTGATAGCATCACCATCCATGGTTGCACAGTCCACCTTGCTAAGCCAGTATGCAGACTTGGCATCTTGTTTGACCCTCTATCCGTTCTACCCCATTTCTGCGCCATGACCTACTCTACCTTCCCCCACCATCACATCACCCGGCTCTGCCAGTATCTCACACCATAGGCCACCGAAACCCTCATACATGGTTTCATTACATCGCGGCTCGACTATGTACACTCATTGCTTGTCGGCCTCCCCAACTCCTCCCTCCATAGGCTGCAGATCATCCAAAACTCTGCGCTCACGTCCTCTCCCGCACCAGGCTCCACGACCCTATCACCCCCACCCTTGCCCAACTCCAATGGCTTCCCATCACACAGAGGATACAGTTCAAGATCCTGGTCTTCACCTTCAAAGCCCTCTGTGGCCTTGCTCCCTCCTACCTCTGTGACCTCCTAACCCCCTACCATCCTGCTCGCTCCCTCCGCTCAGTGGGCTCCGGCCTGCTTCACGTACCCCGCCTTGTTCGCCCCACTATTGGCGGGAGGGCCTTCAGCCACTCTGCCCCACACTCTGGAACTCCATCCCGCAGTCCCTCCACCTCGCCCCCTCTCTTGCCTCCTTCAAAACCCATCTCAAGACCCTCCTCTTCAACCGTGCTTTCGATCTCCCTGCTTCCCCCCCTTTCCTCCACGACCCCGACCCCAGCTCGGGTCCAAAACTCTGACTGTCCGGCTCCTTGGGACGTCATCCCGCCGTGAAAGGCACGTGTAATTTTATTGTTGTTGTTCAGTCAGATTATCGCACGTTATCATGGGGGAATGATCGCTTGTTGAAAAGCTTCCCAGTGGATTAAAAGAATAATAATCATCTGGAACGTTGCTTTGTTTTCCCACAAGAAGATTCCATCCTGGTGGACCCCAGAGCATAAACGCAATGGGAATACTACACCAAGTTATACTACTACTACTAATAATAATAATCGTTGTATTTGATATAGCGCTTTTCACGTCGGGAGGACGTCCCAAAGCGCTTCACAGAATATACTGTAAAGTGAATTGACTGTATATTTGTGGGCAAACGCGGCAGCCAATTGCGCACAGCAATGTCCCACAAACAGTCGTAGATTGAAAATGACCAATTTATTATTTTTTTTGTGGTTTTGGAGGGATTATTATTAGATTAGGAGTAAGGAAACTTGCCCAAGGTTTCGCCCTCTGCCTGGAATTGAACCCAGGTCTCTCACTTGCAAAGTGAGAGACCTGAGTTATTATTATTATTAATAATAATAAATTAGCACAGTGGTAAATCAAAGTAAAACTAGAAGCAGCGAAGCAAAGTGAGGTTCCGATAGAGAGACCAGTGCCCAATTATTGTGTGGCTGCCCATGAAAAATTGGTCTTCTCTTTTGGTCACCGGGTGGGGTGGAGTGGCTGGAGTTTAAACTCAGCCACTGACTAAAACGATGCATTACACAAAGGGTTAATCCTCGGAGAACAAAAAGCCGAATCTCTTGCAATGCGCGCCCTGCCACTTTTGAAAGGCAATAGTTTTTTTTTAACGGAATGAATCAAATATTTACCTCGCTGGCCCATTTCCTGCCCGATTTGCAGTCGTGGCTAGTTGACTGCGAGGCAAGTCAGGCAAGAATTCATCACGTTACACTCATGAAATCAGTAGGTTTGCTTCCCATTAGAGTGCTGTCGGTCAGAGTGTTCACAGTGCTGTCGGTCAGTCACACCCCTTCAATGTACAGCCAGAAAGCAACCCTAACTGCACACATTTCCTCATAGCGAGGGCCATTGATTCAGGCAATGGAAAGTATCAGTATTGTGGGTTTTAAACCAACGTTAACTGGACAGACGGAGCCCCACCGTGCTTGGCTGATGGGCTGGCAACCACGCGTGTGATAAAGATAAGAGCAGGCGGCTGGAGTCTTTGTTCGTGTTGCATTGTGTTTCAGGGCTGGCAGTGTGCCAGTTCATGTTCTGGCACCGCCCAGTTCTCTGCCACTTCCCCAACAGCTAACCTTGCCACAGAACCGAGGGATTAATCCATCCACTTTCAGATGTGCGTCCAGCCTGGTGGGCTCATTCTCAGACTCGTTACGGTCATCATGTTCGCTCGTGTGCTTAACCCACGTGATCCCTCTTCTATTCGTGTCTGCGATCCCGTACTCACAGCCCATTGGCAATTCAAATCGAAGTTGGTGATGCCCTGTGTGCGTATAATATCGACGTGTTGAGATGTGGAGCAATGAACAGATGTGAGGGGGGAATGCCTTACACAGTAACCAGACCAGTAATGTTTGTACTGTTTGTCCTCCCCCGCCCTCCACCCTCCCCGATCCCGACCCCCAGCTCGGGTCCGAAACTGTCTGTCCAGCACCTTGGAACGTCCTCCCAATGTGAAAGGCGCTAAACAAATGTAATTTTGTTGTTATATATTTACTTGGGTTCAATTCCAGGCAGAGGGTGAAACCTTGGGCAACTTTCCTTGCTCCACACAGAGCCTAATAATAATCCCTCCAAAACAAAAAAAAATAGTAAATTGGTCATTTTCAATCCACGACTGTTTGCAGGACATTGCTGTGCGCAATTGGCTGCCGCGTTCGCCCACAAATATACAGTCAATTCACTTTACAGTCTATTCTGTGAAGCGCTTTGAGACGTCGAGAAGATGTGAAAAGCGCTATATCAGAAGCAGGGATTATTAATATTATATCCAAATTTTGAACAGTTTCTCATATCAGATGTGGACTTTGGTTCATTATCTAGTCTGTGGGTGTGAAGTGCCTGACCTTAATTCCCCCGACCCCACCTCACTACCTTTTTGGCACAATGGTATGATCTGAAACTGCCCTGAAGCTTTCTATAACTGCTTTTGTTGTTGCAGAAACAATTAGCTGTTGTTGTTGCTGTCTGTCTGTGGAGAGAGAGCTCAGTGCCGCTTCACTAGATACTGTGGACTTTCACCTCCCTCTCCCTCCCACAACATATGTTTCCCTAAAACTCCTCACATCACTGAACATTTACCTCTTGAACGTTAACCTGACACTTTAAGGCTTCACTTAAGGACTGTAAGCCCTTTGATCGTTCAGAGAAAGGACGCCCTGATGAAGGCTTTGACCTCGCGTCAGGTGGAAAGTCTGCTCGCTGCGGGTTAACAATCCGGTGTTGGTGACATTGTTTTTTTCTCTGTCTTTGATTCCCAGGCGCCCGTTCCCAGCAGGAGATCGCGTGACCTTCAATGGAAAAGACTGTCTGTGTGAGCGCTGCGCTCAGCCAAAGTCGTCCAGCCCCAAGGAGGCTGGCGGTTCCTCCAGTGAGTATACACAGGGCGGGAGAGAACAGCAAAGCTTCAAAAATAAGGGGTTGGAATCATTGCTCAGCCAAGGGGGTGTGACGGGCATGAGATGTTCTGAAAAGCTAATTGAAACCCCTCGAGAACTGATTAGGCTGCTTGGGAGCTATAACTCTGACTCCTGATATAATCCGCGACTCCTGATATAATCCGAGTTCTTAAACTATCTGCTTGTTTTTTATACTTTGGTTCCCCTCCATCCTATGCGTGGGGACTTTCTTCGGCCCACCGTTTTCAGTTCTGGCAAACTCGTACTCGTGTTTCGTCAGCTAGTTTTGGACTGACATTACCTTTGAACCAGACGTATATCTCACGTTTCGCGAGGCAAGCTCGCTCGGGGAGTTTTTCTGGCTCAGGTGCAGGATCTGCAGGGCAGACAGCCCCACAGCACAGTGAGTGAGGTGCTTGTTCTAACATCGCGCCGGCAGAAGAGGTTCAAAAGAGAGCTGACAGCGCCCCTTCATGGCGAAACGATTCCAACGTTACAAGTGGATTTCAGACCAACACAGCAACAAGTGGCTCAGAACACTCGGCAGAGGATGGCATGGAAAAGCCGAAATACACCATTCAGGCATTTCTGCCTTTGGAGGTTTATAAGCCTTTCTTTGTTCCTTGTGTGGTTTGCTGCCCAAAACCACAGCTAGTGACAGAGCTATCATTCTGCCACCGGATATAATCAGCATTCTTAAAACTATATGTTTGTATTTTTATACTTTGGCTGTCCTCCATCCTCTGCATAGGGACTTTTTTCAACACTGGTAAAAACTCTAAAACATCTAAACCACCAGCTGAGGTGTCAATGTGCCTCAGTCGCCCTTTTGCCTCTGAGTTCAAGTTCCCAGGCTTTGAGCTCGTAGTCCAAGGGTGGTCAACTGGCGGCCCTCGGGCCGCAACCGGCCCCCTCTCTCCATTTCTTCTGGCCCACCCTCTCCCTCTCATAAATGTCATGTTAAGTTTCTGCAATGGAAACGCAAATATATTGCTTATGCAGCTGGTAGAAGTGTCTCGAATGGGGCATCCGGCCTTCAGCAGCCAAAAGGTTTGGGGAGCACTGCAAGGTGTTGTCCTTGAACAGGCAGATGTTCAATCACAAAGTTCTCCTGACATTCATGAGGTCCTTGAGTTTTCTTCTCATACTTTTGTTAAATTCTCAAGACAACTCCATCTTATTTGCTAGTCTTGATGCGTTGCCAGATACCCATTATCTCTTTTACCCATTATCTCTGTCAGCTGGACTGAGCTGCGAATTGATTCACTCCCACGTTTTAACTTTATGAGATGGACTTGAAATTGACAAGTAGATTAAATTATTGGTAAGGTGATGCCTTGGATTTCAATAACAGGGACGTTAGAATTCTAAATATAAGCACACATGGATTGATCCTTATCAGCGAAGAAATAATAATAGTAATAATCTTTGCACGTTAACATCTCAAAGCGCTTCATGGGATTTGCTATGACAACAAAGTCTTAAAGTGCTTCCCGACTATTGCTTTTGTGAAATGCTGTCCTATCCCTCCAGGGCCACACGTCTGAGCCTTACTTAAATTTGCTTTTGGTCCTGACTGTGGATCTAATTCAGTGGAAAATCTTGCATAGTTACTGGCATTCAGTTGACTTGATTGAAGTCTCCGTGTCAGGTCAATAGCTGAAAGGCTTGAGTGTTTGGAACAGATCCAAAAATGATAATAGGAGGATGTTCCAGAGCTGGTCACATTGTGAGTTGAACGAATCTGACCATCAATTAGCATTAAACTGACTTGTCTAGACACACAAACCATTAGCTGATACTTTTAATGGTCTGCTTACAGTTACTGGTGTCCTCTGCATGGAAGTCTGACCTTGCAGGGATTGGGATCATTTGACAGGATACACTTCCAGACGAGAACGTAATGTAATATAATGGATTATCAGATTCCCGTTTTAAACAAATTATATTTATATATAATGCCCTTCACATTGGGAGGATGTCTCGAAAGATGTCACAAAACTGACTGGGAGCCTGAGCTGATGGGGGGTGGGTGGGGGGGGGCTGAGGCAAAGGTGGCTGAAAACACAGGACAGGGTGTCCATAAAGCCCTCTTGCCCCTGTTGCAAAACAACGATACGAGGCGACAGAGGAGCTGAAACAAAGATGCAGTTGGCCTCATCACTCGATCCATGCTACGGAAGATGTCACCCAACATGTCATGAAAATGATGGTGCTCACATCCTCTGGTAAAATGAACGTCTAAATACAGTTAAACACTTGTACTGAATAACATTCCTCCACGTGTTTCAGTTGTTAGTCAGTACACGAAAAAAAAACATGGGCATAACATGACCCTGTAAAAGAGAGGGGTCTTCAAGTGGGTTTTGAAGACTTGAGAGGGAAAGAGCAGGGCAAGCGCTCAAGGCTTTAGGACAAAGTCCCATAGAGCAGAGGCAGATTGAAATCTCACCCAACAATGATCGGGGTGGGAAGAGTGGACATGGAGCATGACAGAGGCCGGTGTTTGCTGTGTGGATTGAGTGGCAGAGGCAGTAGGGTCACAGGACAACAACAGCTGACCTTATCGTTGACCTAGATAAGAGATGATTTCAGATTACAGCTTCAGCTTGTTTTGTTTTCTGGGAGTTGAGTAAGACCGGTGTCGGGTGTTTCAAGAGTTTTTGTTTCTGCAACTTGGAAAGCCTTGCTTGACTTCCGTTTCAATCCAGCCTTTGCTTTGATAAAATCAACAACAACAACAACAAAATTACATTTCTATAGCGCCTTTCACGTCGGGAGGATGTCCCAAGACACTGGGCAGTCAGTGTTTCAGACCCGAGCTGGGGATCGAGGAAGGTGGAGGCAGGGGGTGGGAAGGAGGGTGACTGAAGGCACGGTCGAAGGGGAGGGTCTTGAGATTGATCTTGAAGATGGCAAGGGAGGGGTCGAGGCAGAGGGATTGCGGGATGGAGTTCCAGAGGGTGGGGGCAGAGTGGCTGAAGGCCAGCCTGCCAATGGTGGGGCGAGCAAGGCGGGAGACACGAAGCAGGCCAGAGCCCACTGAGTGGAGGGAGTGAGCGGGATGGTAGGGGGTTAGGAGATCGCAGAGGTAGGGGGGAGTAAGGCCATGGAAGGCTTTGAAGGTGAGGACTTGGATCTTGAACTGTATCCTCTGTGTGATGGAAAGCCAACGGAGATAGGTGAGGGTGGAGGTGATAGGGTCACGGAGCCTGGTGGGGGAGAGGACACGGGCTGTAGAGTTCTGGATGATCTGCAGCCTGTGGGGGGAGGAGTTGGGGAGGCCGACAAGCAGGGAATTTTCATAGTCAAGCCTGGATGTTATGAGGGTTTTGGCGGCCTGCGGTGTGAGATACTGGCAGAGCCGGGCGCTGTTGCGGAGTTGGGGGAAGGCAAAGCAGGTCATGACAATGGATGTGGGGTAGAAAGGTAGAAATCAGACGGATTCTCAAGAGAGGGAACGACAAGGAAACAAATCATTGAGGGTAGAGTTATTCAATGTGGGAAGCAATTTGTAAAACAAACAGATCCTTGGCTTTTAGACGTTTCAGTCCCTGAAGGTTCGAAACTTTAAAATGAAACGACATTTGCATAACGGCATAATCCTTGCATTGGATATGGCGCCTTATCACATCTTCGAGATGTCTCAAAGCGCTTCACAGAATACACTATAAAGTCATTTGACTGTATATTTTGTGGGCAAAACGTGGCAGCCAATTATGCACAGGAGTGACCCACAAACAGTTGTGGATTAAAGTGACCAAATTATCATTTTTTTGAGCGATTATTATCCCCGGAAAAGCCAATCAACTAACAACCGGGTTCCTACTTCAGCTAGGTAAACGGAAGCGTGCGGAGTAAGGAAACTTGCACAATGTTTCGCCCTGCTCAGGTCCTCTCGCTTGCGAGGCAAATGCTCTTACCACTGAGCTACAGGACCCCACGGCCATGGGGACTAATGGGATGAGGCGGGGTGGGGAAGGGGGGAAATCACACGTAAGTGACAGCACGCGAAAATGTACAGAGAACTACATCTCAGTCTGTGCATCAACCTGAAGGATGCTCTCCCAACCTTCTTGCACTAGCAGCCAGTGTTGGATGAGCCATTCTCGACGGCAGAGCCAGCAGAGATTTGTGCAGCAGGGGCCATCAAATATTTACAGGTTTGGCTGCAAATGTGCCAGTCAGACATTACTGAGGGTAAAGATAACAGCCTGGCTTTGATTAGTCGCTGATAGAATTTCAGCCTCCACAACCAGAAAATAATACACACACACACACACACAGAGTGCCGTCCTCCTGGCTGGCAATTAAAAGGTAAGTTAGTTCAGAGGTTGGTTATTCTGGGTAAAAGAGAGAGGGAGCTGTGCTATGAAAAATGTAGGCGTAATTCATGCGAATGAATATTTAATAGGTGCACAAATGTATTCAGAAGCATCAGTCATGCGTCGAGCCTGCCACGCTCTGAGCTCACAGAGCCGTAGACGGTGATGGATACTCTGCAAAGGGAAAAGATTGAATGATTTGCGCTGATCTGCAAAATAAGCCTTTAAGAGAGGTTACCTTTAGCTTCGGATCAAATGAGCTCATGTTTCAATCACATTTTCCAAAACAAGATCCATTCCCCCCACCCAAAAAAAAATCATGGTTGACCACATTATCAGAACATCTGCTCTCCTGTGTGTCCAACTACGGCTGTAATGTGTATAATATTTAAGCTGTAAACTCTACATTACCAGCGTTACCGCAGATATTCTCTCGGGTGAGGTTTTTGTGCAACTTGAAACCTTGCCACGTCATCTTTTGAGGTCCTCAAAGTTCAGGATAAGCTTAAGCCTCACAGAAGTTGTATCAGCCGGGACCGTAAACATTTAATATGACTTCCGTGAAGGTCGAGTTTCAAGCAAACGCGTACAAATCGTATAAAATCCGATTTAATCATTAATCCACACCGGGCACATTTCCGGGAGGCTAACCTGTGCGAAGGACGCTATAATCAATGCAATGCAAGTTGTTGTTGGGTCAGGATGCCATCTCCCGCAATTCAATGCAGCGCGAGGGTAACGGAGCGGAGGGGAGCGGCGTTAAGGGTTAGATGATAAGGGAGCGAATGACACGGACCGGGTGGGAGCGGGGGCTTTGGTAAAACAAAGGCTGGCACGGGATATTTGTGACCCACGAATGCCATCTGGTGGTCAAGGTTCAAAGACAATTTTTTTAGTGAGGATGTCGTGCCTTGGACGTGTGTGTGTGTTTGTGTGTGTGTACGCACGTATGTGTGTATGCACATGTGTGTGCATGCACAAGTGTGTTTGCACACGTGTGTGCGAGTGTGCAGTGTTGAGATTTTGTCACATTTTACGCATCTCGATCACAGGGACCTTCCAAATCAAGGTCTGGTTTTGTCGCTCAGCGCTGGGTCAGAAGACTGTGGTTGTGTTGTATTTTCAGACTGTGGTTGTGTTGTATTTTCTGACGGTGGTTGTGTTGTATTTTCTGACTGTGATTGTGTTGTATTTTCTGACTGTGGTTGTGTTGTATTTTCTGACTGTGGTTGTGCTGTATTTTCAGACTGTGGTTGTGCTGTATTTTCTGACGGTGGTTGTGTTGTATTTTCTGACGGTGGTTGTGTTGTATTTTCAGACTGTGGTTGTGCTGTATTTTCTGACGGTGGTTGTGTTGTATTTTCTGACGGTGGTTGTGTTGTATTTTCAGACTGTGGTTGTGCTGTATTTTCTGACGGTGGTTGTGTTGTATTTTCAGACTGTGCCGGCTGTGGCAGGGATATCAAGAACGGACAGGCCCTGTTGGCTCTGGAGAGACAGTGGCACTTGGGCTGTTTCAAATGCAAGGCCTGTGGGAAGGTGTTGACTGGAGAGTACATCAGCAAGTAAGCACCGAGATTTACCTCTCTGTCAGCGTGATCTCAACACGCGATGACTAACTTTCTTTATTCATTCATGTTAATGTTTGTCATTCCGGCTCTGCCGGTTACACTATTGTTTCTGAGTCAGAAGGCTAAGTTTCCTTACTCTATGGGTACGCCTCTGTTTACCCAATATTAGGTAGGAACAGGCTTGTTAGTCGATTGGCAGATCGCTTTCCAGGGGGTAAGAATCCTTCCATAATAATAATAATAATAATAATAGTTCGGTCACTCAATCCAAGAGTGTTTGTCGGCCACTGCTGTGCAGAATTGACCGCTGCGTTTCGCCCACAAAACATACAGTCACTACACTTTACAGTCTATCTTACGAAGCGCTTTGAGAGGTCTCAACGAGATGATATAAGGCGCTATAGCAAATATAAGAATTATTATTATTATTATGGGTTGAAGACCCACATTGGGACTTTGAACTCACATGGCCTAAGCTCACACTCCAATGCAGCGTTGGGGGTGATGTGACATTGTCGGAGGTGCCATCCTTCAGATGAGATGTTAAACCGAGGCCCTATCTGCCTGTTCAGGCGAACGTCAATGATACTCTGAAAAGAGAAAGGAGTTTCTCCCAGTCCTGGGACACTGACAACAATTCCCTGGATAAAATTGATCCTTCACTTCATGGCTGTTTGTGGGCCATTGCTACATGCAAATTGATGTCTGCATTTGCCAAAAATATATAGAGGTGATCGGAAAATTCACCCAAACAGAATCTCTGTGGTTTGTAACCACATCGCCTTTTTTTTTGTTACTCAATCGCTCTATTTTTGTTTCCTTCCTTTTACCCTAAAAAACCTTGAATAGAGATGGTGCTCCTTATTGTGAAAAGGATTATCAGACCCTCTTTGGTGTGAAATGCGAAGCCTGCGATGAGTTCATCACTGGGAAGGTCTTGGAGGTATGTAAACCTGCAATGCTGTTTCGTTCAAGGTTTGTGTGGAGGGTAGGGGTCAAATAACCAGCTATCGCTTCTCCTGTTCAAAGCATTAACCTCTTTCATGACTTCCAACTGAGCACTGTAAAATTGTACACTGTTTTTATGGGCGCACGATAATATTTTACAGGCGAGCTACTGAAATGTTTTTCGCTTGTTTTGCTGTTATAAAGTCTTGTGGAGTCCTGCAGCTCAATGGTTAGAGCACTCGCCTCACAAGCGAGAGACATGGGTTTGATTCCCGGCAGGGCGAAACCTTGGGCAAGTTTCCTTGCTCCACACGGCTGATAATAAACCCTCAAGAAAAAAGAAAGAAAAATCAATAATAAAATTGGTCACTTCAAACCACGACTGTTTGTGGGACGCTGCCGTGCGCAATTGGCTGCCACGTTTCGCCCACAAATATTCAGTCTATTCACTTTACAGTCTATTCTGTGAAGCACTTTGAGACGTCTTGAAGACGTGATAAGGTGCTATATCAAATGCAAGGATTATTATCATATTATTATAAAGAAGGCACATCTCCAAAGGTCACAGGAGAGGGTTGGACAGACAATAGAGCTTGCAACCTTTTGTTAGAGGCCAAATCTCTTGCAGTTTACAAAAGTCGAACAGTATTTACCCGCATTCACTACTATAAATTTAAATAATGGCAGAAGTTTACCCCCTTCGCTTGAGAGTCTTTTCTCAGAAGCACCACGAATACTCTCGTGCAGATAAAATTTAAGATCCAACAGAGTTTTGCAAAGTCCTTAATTTCCGCCTTAATTTGGAAGCTGCTTTTACACCGTTCATAAAAGGATATGAGGAATGAATTGGCTGTATTTCCTGAGCTAAGCCCATCTTTCCTCAGACTAACCTTTTTTTGGTGCATGCGCATTGACTTAATCTGTAAAAAAAAATGTCAGAATACAAGATAGCATTGGTCATTCCACAGAATATCTAACCTCTGTAAGGTTTGCTGGTCAAAGACTGTGGAGAGATTCAAGCAAATAGTGCATTGTTATGCTTGAAATGGTGTCAATATCTCTAGGAGATATCAGTGATCATTTCTGCGTCATTTGGTGACTGTTGTGGTACATTGCTTGCTGAAAATGAAGTGTAACCATACAGTGACCTGGGCGATGATCATACTGTGAGTCTAGCTGGAGCTTGTGCTTGTATTGAGCATGGAATGCCTCTGAACGAGTTCACACAGCCTTCAGGGCCACTCATTGCGACAAAAAACAGCTGCGTACGTTATAGACGATGAAACTTTTTCCACTGGATAGCTTTGTGCTTCATCTTTTCCTGTGGGATCCTGATTTGAATCAGGACCCATTGATCATTCACTTCATGGCTGTTTGTAAGATGTTATTGTGTGTAAATTGGCTTCGACTCCACCTACAAAATACACATTTCAATGTACGTGTGAAGACTTTCGAACATCCTGATATTGATGCAATATCCCAGTATAACAGGGTCTGGCTATATTATAGTTAAGTCCCGTGACTGCGATCAAAAAGCACAAACGAATATCTACAGTTCAATAATAATAATCCTTCCATTTCACATCTTATCGACGTCTCAAAGCACTTCACAGAATATACTGTAAAGTGAATTGACTGTATGTTTGTGGGCAAAAAGTAATCAGGGAGAAGAAGCAGCCATTAGCCCTTAATATGAAAATATCCTTTACTTCATTTCAACCTGAATAGAGTTGAGAAATCTTTTAAAATGCCTCCGTAGCACTCAGCGAATTTCGCCCGCAAAATACACAGTCAATTCACTTCACAGTGTGCATGGTGAAGTGCTTTGATCGCAACGATGTGATAAGGCGCTACATCGAATGATTGAGAGAAAATTGACTCAAAACTGTGCTCTGTTGTGACCGTAAGCACTTTGAGAGCAGATGTGACAAATTTGCTCTTTCGATAACTTTTCATTTGCTTCAGCTGGAAAATAATTGGGCTCTTGCTGTTATAATTTGCTCCACAAAAACCTCAGGCCTCTCCATATCCCTTTATTTTATGTCACCACTTTGGCAGCGAACATCATTAAGGCTGTGTCATTAAATCATTGCTCTTGACTGTTCTGGTCTAGTTCTGGGATGTGGTACCACATCTATCATGAGATGGTTGATCAGAACCAGCTGATAAAACCTTAGCAGACAAAATTCCCTGAGCCAAAGCCAACAGCAGAGGGCAGTGACTTCTAGCAAGTAATTATACTCAATCAGTGAATAACATGGCAATGCATCCTGTGCAGAAGTGTTATTCGTAGCAAATAGTGTTAAGAGCAAGAGAAACGAGAGATCTTGTGTGCATTTTGTGGTGTGGGTGAACAGCAATAGAGACCGGGGATGAATAGTAATAATAATAATTATTAATATTAATAATAATGCGTTTGGTGGAGCCTGTTTCACACCGGGGTTCACTGGATAGCTGGACATACCTGAAATCAGATTCAGCATTACGATTTGGCAACTGCAGAGATCAGATTTCGAATGACCTTCCACACGCTATTGCATCTGATGTCTAACATCACTCAAGGTCAATAGAGTAGGCTTAGGTACATCAAACTATTAGAGAATTGGAATCAATGTACTGCAGGACTTCACTCGCCCCCTCCCAATGTGAAACCCAACCATCAAATACAACATAGGACTCACATCCCTGTTTTACTCCAGGGTTCATTAAATCCTTCAATTCAGTGCAACTTCAAAACAATATTTAACACCTGCCTATCTCCAACTCCAGTCTGCAATAGCACAGAATACATGAAGGAACTTTATTTAGATTTTTTTTCCGTAGATAAGGCAGGGTTCTGCTTGCAATAATAATAATAATACTTGCATTTGATATAGTGCTTGATCACGTCTTCGAACCGTCTCAACGCACCTCAGAGGATATACTGTAAAGTGAATTAATGGTGTATTTTGTGGGCGAAACAATGTCCACATATCATGCAGTTTTTCTGGCACAAAAAATAAATTATATTCTGTTTACCAAGCGGGAGTTTGCCAACATTTTATTCATTGCATGTGAAGAATTGGGATTTGTCCAAATGTGTATTTTCCTGGATAAATCGAGAGAGGTCTAATTCGGATCAGTCTGGATTAGGACTTTGAACTTAGCATTGATCCTTGGTAATTCTCCAAGGTGCTGGACTAGAAGCAGCCGCTGCAGTGGGCATGATGCCAACACAGTGGCAGCTTTGGTGAACATGGAGTCCTGTAACTTAGTGGTTAGAGCACTCGCCTCGCAAGCGAAGAGATCCGGGTTCGATTCCTGGGGCAGGGCGAAACCTTGGGCAAGTTTCCTTACTCCACACCCCTCTGTTTACCCAGCTGTAAGTAGGAACCCGGTTGTTAGTCGATTGGCGGATCACTTTTCCATGGGTAAAAATTCCTTTTTAAAAAAAAATCTACGACTGTGTGGTTTTATAGAGCACGGCATCAGTAAATTAGTGTTAGGTAAATTAGGTAAACTTTATGACACCTTTTTTTATTCTGATCTCAAGAAGATCTTAAGGCAATATCCTCAGTGCCGTCTTTCTCCTAAAGTCTACAGAGTTTTAAATGTGTTGCCTAACGATCAGTAGTTTACAACAACAACTTGCATTTATATAGGGCCTCTGAAAGTGGATAGCGTCCCAGAGCGCAAAGCGTTGCTTTATTGCCTGTCCTCCCTCCTACTTTATAGAACCACAGAAATATGTGACATATAAGGAGGCTGTTTTACCCACTTTTTCATGCCAGTTGTTTGATCCTCTAAAAAACCAGCCATCCTAATCCCAACTCCCTACTCATGCTCCTTCACCCTCTAATACTCTTCCTCTGCACGTACTTGTCAAACTCTTCTTTTTAAAATGCTCCAAAAGCTCATGTCAACTTTGGTGGTGTCCTGGGCTGTGAGTCTTAGCCCATCATCGAAATATCCTCCTGTCAACACCCACCCCAATTAATCCTCAATAAAACGTGCTGTTAACACCTATATACAATTGGGTTGCGGTCTCTCCATGTGTAATCTATCTGAGGGCAGACTGTGTTGAACGTGCTGAGCATTACAGGAAGGATACAAGGAGAATGTATTATTGTTGGACTGTATTTCAGTGTTGTGTTTGTATCAGGAGGTCTGCACAATAAGTAAATGAGTCGTGGTTTGGCAGCCTGGGAATCAGCCTCGCAGTTATCTGGAGTCCACGTTAGGGAAATGCTTCTTATAATTGTTTTTGTTTGCTGAATGGTACTACAGTTAATTGAGACAATCTGAAGTGAATGTCTTTAGTCTCAAGATCCCAACACCAATATCCTTTTCACTTGTTCAGCAGAAGAAATACGAGACGCCCAATAATGGAAGGCTTGTTTTGTTTTCGGTTCTCGCTTCATTCCTGGAAGAAAGTTCAATTCGAGAGGATGTATAAATCTTCTCCCCAGCAGTAAGCAGCCAGGACAAAGATTTTCTAGGCACAAGAGGAAAGATTCAAGCCATGTGGGAAATTGCAGAATTTGTTAATAATCAGAACAAGCTGACCCGATTAGCAACCTGGAGAAATCAGGGCATTTCTGTATGTTATACCATCAGCCTGATGACATAACAATAATCCTTGCATTCGATACAGGGCCTTATCACACCTTCGAGACGTCTCAAAGCGCTTCACGGAATATACTGTAAAGTGAATTAACTGTGTATTTTGTGGGCAAAACGCGGCAGCCAATTGCGCACAGCAGCGCCCCACAAACAGCCGTGGATTGAGTGGCCAAATTATTTTTATTAATTTTGAAGGAATTGTAACCTCCGAAAAAGCGATCCGCCAATCGACTAACAACTACTTACTGCTGGGTAAACAGAGGAGTGTGGAGTAAGGAAACTTGCCCAACGTTTCGCTGCTGGGAATCGAACCCAGGTCCTCTCGCTTGCGAGGCGAGTGCTCAAACCATTGAGCTACAGGACTCCACACAATCTAATAATAATCTTCTCATT